TCACCATAACCACGGTACAGAAAGATACGAGGTCACAGAACTGACAGTCCAGAAGCGAGGTTACGGATTCAAGAGGCGGCTCGTACGGATTCCTAGAGGTGGCTGCCCACAATAGTGTAGGCACTTAGTTCCGCACACACTTTGTCGCACAGAACAGAGGTCAGTGGATCCTGACAAACAAGGACCACAAAAGTGGTCAAACAGAGGCAAGTGTTTATTAAGTTCCCCAAGTCGTGTGACTCCCGCGTGGTGGGCTTACAAAACATAATTGTTTTATAAGGTTCATAATCAAATATTTTTTAAATATAACAGACATATCCATGGGTTTCATTTTAAAGCAAATGAGTTCAGAAGATAAACACGTAACTGAAACCTTTATAAACATAACTTTTATTAAAAAGCATAACTTGTACATAAAACAGATTTGATAAGTCAAAACATACGTAAAATACATTTTGATGACTCAAAATATAATATAATCACCTTGAACTTAATAGCCTACTCCTTTCTTTCTATATCAAGATTCTTCCACTGCTATTATTTTTTTCCTTCATTTCTTCTTTCTTTTCCTTCTTTCCCTTCTTTCTTTTTGCTTTCTTCTTTTCTTCCTTAGCGAATCACCTCCTATTTATAGGAGGTGAGACGCAAAATGCTTGGCCAACACGTGGCGGGCCTCCCTCTTGCTCAGATTCGTTCATTAATTATCGATTTGTTGTTATCTTATATACAAATTTAAGAAATTATTTTTTGATATAATATTTTTAAAAATATAATTATATAATTAATTAATTACTAATGTAAATTACACTTTATCATATACCAGCAAAAAATAAATTATTTACTTTTAAAATACGACACCATTTTTGTTATTATTTATATTATCTTATCTATTATTATTATATTTTGACCCTAAACTTTTAAATAATTTCTATTATTTTACAAAATTACGCATAATAATATATAATAATTATATATTTTTGAACTGAGATTAAATAATATTAGTATAACTTCAGTAAGCATAATTAAAAATTTGGATTGTTACACCAATCTTTGACCCGTACCTTTAATCATGCACACCAACCACTATACCAGCAATCACTGCTATTATGAAATATCATTCCCTAAATACAATATTTAAAACATTACTTTTTGCTTTATTGGTAAATGGTCATATTCACCTTCTGGCCCGGCGCGTGGTCACCACACGCCGAGGAGTTCCGCCGGCAAAAGACGCGCCGTAATTAACGGCGCGGTAATGAAAGGGCTTTAGTGGCGGTTTGTTACCGCGTTAAAAGAAGGGCTTATAGTGTAGTTTTTTTTAACGACGGTTTCTTACTGCCGTAAAATCTTAGCGGCGGTTTTTTAAACGGGCGGTGATTGAAACCGCCGTTAAAGATAACATTAATGGGCGGTATTAACGGCTGTTTTGCTAACTGCCGTTAATACTATCTTTTACGCAGTAACGAAAACCTCCGTTAAAAAGAATCGTCGTTAATGCCCTGTTTGGCGTAATGTAATCTAAATGAAATGATTCTTTTATTTAATTTAATAATTATTATCATAAATGTGCAGTGAACATTGAATATTCTAACTATTTTTGACGCATAGATCAGATGTTAAGCAAAACTTTTTCATTTAGATTTTTGAAATATCAATAATTTACTTTTAATATTCTCCAAATTTTAAAAATCCAATTCCAAATATTTATTGAAAAATATTGAATAATATGGTGTAAAAACTTCCGTAAATTATTTTAAAAAAATTAGGCCATTCAACTAATATTAAAAGCATTTTTCTTCCATGCGGGGATAAAAACAACTGGATGAGAATGCATCATTGCAATCCCATAATAAATGCAAAATATGCAAAAACAGCACTGTATGAAGCAAAATTAGGGAAAATATAGTGCACCGTAGACTCAGAAGACCCAAAATAGTGGAGGACCAAGTTGAAGCCAATCGAAAAGAAGAGAGATTAACAAAAGCAAGGTGGGGTAGATAAACACACTAACAAGAAAAAACGTTGATGGTGTTTGGAGTTGTAAAAAGGTGCGGATGGCGGTGGGTTGAAGGAAAAAACAAAAAAGAAAGAAAAAGAAAAGTTGAAATATTAAAGGTGTGTTTGAAAAGATGAGGGGACAAACGATTGTGGAGTCAACTTGGTTATATTTATATATTTATATTGAAGTGGGGTCCTATTATTCATATATATTGATGTGTGGAAAATTTTGTCACATTGCTATTCATCAGTAATTTAAACTGGAAATACTGACAGAATATATGGCACATGACTGACCTGTCAACGATATAAGAATCCCGCGGTGGTTTCGTTCCCTCCGGGGCACTCCGACGATCAAGTCAGTATATTCTCTAAAAAATATCAATTATTCAAGCTCACAAACTTTGAGCTTTAAAAAGCATACCTTAGAGCCTATGGGGGTGCCTCTCTTATAGCTAAATATCCAGTCCAATAGAGCCTAACTTCTATGGACTCAAGTATTAGTGCTATCTTGGATTCCCAGTAAATTAGGATAAACTCTCTAAGTCTTAATCTATACAAACTGAGTCTCTCTCATATAGGGCTCTGTCTTTTCATCCAGGTTGAGTTCCTTCATCTGGACTCTTGTCCCTTATCCACTTATCTCGATTCCGATGATCTTCGGAGATACCTCGGCCTGCTGACATCACCTCGGCGTCACGACCAGGACATGTGGCACTCGGGCTGACCGTTCGGCGTCACCTTGCCACGTGTTGGTACTCAGAAATATATCCTCACAGTGGGCCAATTTTACACTCTTATCAATGTGAATGTTAACATGTCAATGTGAATATTTACATTGTCAACGAGCCGGACTGGGCCCGTCCATGGGCCGTGGGCAGGTTTCGCGCCGCCACGGGACGGGGGCCAATTTTACACTCCTATTAATGTGAATGTTAACATGTCAATGTGAATATTTACATTGTCAACGGGCCGGACCGGGCCCGCCCCGGGCCGCCCATGGGCCACGGGCGGGTTTCGCGCCACCACGGGACAGGGGCCAATTTTACACTCTTATCAATGTGAATGTTAACATGTCAATGTGAATATTTACATTGTCAACGGGCCGGACCGGGCCCGCCCCGGGCCGCCCATGGGCCACGGGCGGGTTTCGCGCCACCACGGGACAGGGGCCAATTTTACACTCCTATTAATGTGAATTTTAACATGTCAATGTGAATATTTACATTGTCAACGAGCCGGGCCCGCCCTGGCTCGAGGGCGGGTTTCGGGCCGCCCACGGGCCAATTTACATTCCTACAAATGTGAATTTTAAAATATGAATGTTCACATCATTAAATTGCTAATTGTTGAAAAAATATTTATAAGGGTATCAAAATTAAATATAAGGGCATAAGTGTCCAAGAAAATATTGTAAATCAAGAAAATGGACTTTATGGAATAAAACTATACATACATGGGACTAAATGGGTTAAAGAATTCTTTCATGGACTTCTTGGGTTAAAACACTTCTAAATTGGACTTATCAATAAAAATCCCAAAAATAGAATATCACATCTAACCCATAATTATTATATTCTTCTCTCACAAAAAAGTCAAAAAAGTCAAAAAGTCAAAATCCTTCCCAAACCAAACTTTTTAACCCAGGCTAAAATAGCTAAAAAAGTCAAAAAGCCAAAAAGCCAACCCACTTCCCAAACGGAGGCTCAGTATTCTATTAAGTCTTATTTAATGTAATATGACTAAATCATCATTTTTAATTTTTCGCACATGTTTTTATTTTGAAACTGATACATAATAATAGTCCCTCATTTTATGGAGAAAATCTCTCCCCCATTCCAAAGAGAAAATCTTTTTCTTATTTTATGGCAAAAATCTCAAATTATGAATTTTGAACCTTTGTATAATTTGAAAATTTTAAAAATAACGCAACAAAAAAATTTGAATGAAAATCAAGATATAACGTGAATGTTCGCAGTAAACAATAAACATACAATTAACTTTTGAAAAAACAAAACACATACTAACGTACAATGTGAATGTTCACAATAAATAACAAACATACAACTAACCGTCGAAAAAATAAAATTCATACCAAAATACATTGTGAATTGTCACAATTTATAATTAACATACAACTAGCCTTAAAAAAAATAACTCACACCAATGTGAACATTTACATTATAACATAAAAATATAAAACAAAATTAAAAGAGGTGAAAACATACTATTTCTATTGTTCAATGGTAACAAAATGATTGTCGAATTAACAAACATAGTAACAAAAACAACAAACATATAATCAACTTTTGAAAAAATAAAACTTATACCAAAATACAATGGAATGTTTACAATTTATAATTAATATACAACTAGTTTTTTTTTTTTAAAAAAAAAAAAAAAACTCATACCAATGTGAACATTCACACTGCAACGTGAAATATAAAATAAAATTGAAAAAAAGTGAAAATTAACTATTTCGATTATTTAATGGTAACAAAAATGATTGTTCAATCAACAAACATAGTAAAAAACAAAAAAACAAAATACAATTAATTTTCGAAAAAACTTTAAAAAAAAAGACTCATACCAAAATACAATGTGAATATTCACAATTAACAATTAATATGCAACTAACCTTAGAAAAACTAAATTCATACCGATGTAAACATTAACACTACAACATTAAACAAAATTGAAAGAAAAAAAAAAGCGACTATTTCAATTGTTTAATGGTAACAAAAAAATGATTGTTCAAACAACAAATATAGTAACAAATAATCAATAATATGTGAATATTCATATCTTGTAAAATATATAATTATGTCTATATTTATATTTCAACACTTATTTTTTAGACTTTCAAACAATGTGAAATGTGAACATTCACACTGACTGACAAAAAAACAGAAACAATGGCAGTAATAGAATTTAGAAATCCAGAAAAACCTCAATCACTCTAAAAAAATAAAATAATAAATAAATAAATAAATTACACACACCCTCATCTTCATTATCATCTATATCATTATCACTATCATTAACAATATATGCAATTTCACTATTCTATCAATCCAAATCAAACCAACAAAATTGACTAGACATAAACAGAATTTCGACTTACAATAATGGAGAAACATAAAGTTTCGAACACAAAGTAATAATGGACGAACATAGAACTTTGAACACAAAGTGACAATGGAAGAACACAACGTTTCACCATAACAATGGAGGAATGTAATATTATTTCACTGCTATATATAAACTAGAGTTTTTAAACCCTACCAAATAGAGTGTTTTGAAACCCTAGCGCAATGAAACAATACCACAAATATGAATGAAACTGATCAAAAAGAAAAATACGAATAATGGTAACTATCAAAATAGAGGTAGCAACAAAAAGGAAATGTGTATATCATTTTTCTATGTAATACATATCAACATTAGGCATAAGAGTATAATAACCCAACAAACAATATGAATCAGAAAAAAACGACCTCATGAAATAAGAGTATAAATACATGGGATTAACTAAGTTATAATTTTGCTTGGTGAACTTATTGGGTTAGAACACCTCTAAATGAGATTTATCAATAAAAAAAAAAATCCTATTTTTAACATAATATTAATAATTGTAATGATCGGTAAATATTTTCTGAAAATCATTACACAAATTAAATTGAATAGTTTGATGGACCATGTGTGTAGTGATTGTCTTAATATTAAAAGATCATTTGTAGAATAGTTTATGATGATTGAAACAAAGCTTTTAGGCCCCGTTTGTTTCCCTCTTTTACAGTTCGGAGTGCACTGTGAATGATGAATAATGAACATAACTCCTGTTTGTTTCAGATGGGCCTTACATGTTGGGATTGTTAGTTTGTCCCAACACTTGGTATTGAAAATTAATCTGTTGGTAATAGAGGAGTAATTTACTTGTTTATCCTCTCCTCATCTCTTCTCTCCTCTCTCTCTGTTCTCTTATCACATATATATATATATATGCATATTTCATTTCGTTTTCTCACCAATCAAACAGAAGTGTAGACAAATTGCAAATTAGATCAGTAAAATTGAAGAGTGATACTTCGATCTTTGACTAAATTAGACAAAAGAGATACAAATCAAATGACTTACATGATACGAAATTATACAAAATTAAAATTTGCAAGAAAAACAAAATTGCGTTGACTATGAATATCGGCGTTGTCGTCGTCGTCGGTAATGATCGGCGTCATTGCGTCGTCGTCATCGTTGACGGTGAAGATTTGTGTCAGTGTCATCGTCATCCTTGTAGTGATGCTTTATTTTTTTTTTTTTTAACAGAGAAGGCAAAGATGATGATGAATGAACAATGAACCAATATTTAAGTGAAAAAAATCTTTCAATACACTGTTTAAAACCATGGAATGGTTAAAACCGTGGGCTGGGCTGAGTTGTTTTCATAATTCAGTTTTATAAAAATAATTTAATATACTAATATTTTTATAAAAATAATTTAATATAATTATGTTTTATAAAAATAATTTGATATAATAATATTTTTATAAAACATAATTTTTAATATTAAAATATATCACAAATAAACACAAATTTTCATAATCCACTCACTAATAATTTCCAAATTTCATAATAATGTAACAAGGGTATTTATGGAATTTAACTAGTTAATCCCCACTCCTATCTCTCAAAACAAACAGGAATTATTACTACTCCACTAGTTATCAAACAAACACAAGTTTCTTAGTTCCCTCACTAATAATCTCCTCACTAATAATCTCATTCAATCTACCTCTGAAAACAAACGGATCCTTAGTTTGATACACAAGTTAGGTTGAAATTTATATTTTTATTAATTAGAAACCTTAGCCTTATGAATTTTAAATAATTTCACAATTCAGAAACTCATGAAATTTTTATTCAAGGTTCATATATATGAGTATAGTAAACTTGGTAACAAAAATTCAGATAAAAACTCTTACAGATGATTTTTTTTTACAAATTCTTGGATTTATTAGTATTTGATAAATTGTTATAACAGAGTTTTGTGTTTTACATTTTATTTTTGTATTGGGTTTTGGGCACTAAACCAATGATTTGAGGTAAATTTTGTTGGGACTTAGTTGTACCATGCAAGTTAGTTTATTACTAACCAAATTCTTTCCCCTTAATTTACCTTTAATTTGAATTAAGTGAAACAGGAAACTTCCTCGTTTGCTTTTCAGAAAAGTAATTTGCTATGGTCCTTGTGTGCTATATAATATATATATTTTAACAATGACTTATCCTACTAAAAAATAGATTACTAATAACACTATTGAGAAAAAAAAAAAAAAAAAAAAAAACACATCATTAATAATTTTATTAAAGCACCACTTTTAATATTCGCAACTATTTTTCTTATAAATTTTGATATATTTATGGAGAATATAGGAAAATAACACCCAAGACCCTCATGCCCTTGGTTGGGCCACCCACGTGCCTAAGCTCATAATAGGCTTCCTTTTTGTTGCTACGGTACTCCTATGGTATAATTTGGATCCGGTCCCGTCCAACCGAGTCCGGATGAATTTTCGTCAGTTTTTGTGTCGGGTCAAGTTGGGCCGGACTGGAGCTAAAAGTTTAGACTCAGACCAACTAAAACTACGGTCATGTCATGTGCGGGGCTTTTTTTTTTTAAATTTTAATTATTTAATTATTTATTTTTTTTTTCAAAAAAATAAACGATATATATATATATATTATATGGAGATTATTTATGATAGAAAAAAAATAAAAGATTGTTTGGAATGCTCTAAATAAGTACATTTTTTAACTTTTTATGAAATATAGGTTGGGTTTGAAGTGATGTGGTAGAGAGGTGATGTGACTTAAATAAGATAGTGACTTTTTGACTTTTTTTGAAGATGCCAAACTTAGCCTAAATGAAAAATTGTACTAGAATATTTTAATTAAAATTAATGAAATGTTTGGTTGTTTTTTACGTGATGATATTTAATTGTGTATGACTTATGTTTTTTTGATTATGACTAAAAAAACATCAAATTATGCAATTTTCTTCTTTTGAAATGAATAATTTTATTTATATCAAAATGAAACGAAATATTACAATCATTAAATTAAATAAATAATATTTATTTAATGAATAATTTTTACTTCAAAATAAAAGAAAATATTAAAAAAATTTATATCATTAAATAAAATAAATATAGATTATTAATGATAGTAGAACAATTGTATCACTATAGGTCAAGTTCCCAACTAGGTTAGCACCTATTAGTCTACCAATCATTTGTATTATACTTCATCTCAATACTCTAATAAAGGGTTCGTTTGGGATGTGGGTTGACTTTTCGGCTATTTTAGCTTGGGGCTAAAAAGCCTCGCTTAGGATAGACTTTTTGACTTTTTTGACTTTTGTAAAAGAAAAAATGAAATGATTATGATTTGGATGTGACATTTTGTCTTATTGGACTAAAAAACCTATTTTGTCTTTTTGTAACTATTTTAGTTAAAAAACTCCCGTTTAACTTATGCCAAACGAGGGCAAAAACATTACGAAATAAAATAGTGAAAAACAAAGTTGTTGATCAATTATAAGAGGATGCAAACAATTCACTTGCGTTGCCAAACGATATGTTATCCAAATTGCTTTGAATTCTCTCATTTTTACTATAATTTTATCTTCACGTAAGCACATGTATATGATATCTGGATATCATAAGTGACTCAACCATTTGGGATGAAAGCCTGTTGTGGCAACCTGTCTACTTACACTAAAAGTTATTTAAAAAACAAATGTAAAAGTGAGAACAATTAGTATATTACGCGTTATTTGTAAAAGCGCAGGTCACATAGGTTGAGTTTGTTTCCATCAATTTAAAATATCAAAATTATCGTTATCATCTACTGGTGGGCTATCCAAATAACGTTATAATTCAGAATTATTTATGATTATATGTTGATATATTCTTTTACTTTTTATTGGTGAAAAACATATAATCTTCCACCTCGAGATAAGACTGGTATAATATATTGAAATAAATCACCGTAATAAATAATTATAAAGTTAATCTCAAATGGGTTATAGTCTGATTATAATATATTGTATTATTTAAACTAATGGTAAATAATTTATTTTGCAAAGTTCACCCATATAATACATTTTTTTATTTCTACCCCAAGTATATGATTAGTGTATGGAAGTTCAACTAACACTACGTCAAAATTGGGCTTTAGCGGCGGTTTTTTATCGCCGTTAAAGGATATGAATTTAGGACCGCCGTTTATACGCGTGTCGGAAAAGGTACAACCATCGTAAAAGGGTAAATTACCGTTGTTAAAAGTCGATCAAAAACAGCAGTAATATAGGACCAAAAACGACGGTTCTTTACCGCCGTAAATAGGTTCAAATTTTTACAAAAATAATTCCCTCTTCTTGCACCCCCCAATTGTCACGACCCGCTCCCCGTACCAAGGGTTAATTATATAAATAAATCCTTTGAGTAGCAGAAATCATTTGAATAACAGAACTAAAATATAGATATTATGTAAATATATCACCATAACCACGGTACAGAACAGAACAGAGGTCACAGAACTGACAGTCAGAACAGAGGTACGGATTCAAGAGGCGGCTCGTACGGATTCTAGAGGTGGCTCCCACAATAGTGTAGCACTTAGTTCCGCACACCACTTTGGTCCGCACAGAACAGAGGTCAGTGGATCCATGACAAACAGAGGACCACAAAGTGGTCAAACAGAGGCAAGTGGTTATTTAAGTTCCCCAAGGCGTGTGACTTCCGTGGTGGTACTTACAAAACATAATTGTTTATAAGATCATAATCAAATATTCTTTAAAATATAAACAGACGTATCCATGGGTTTCATTTTAAGCAAATAGAATTCAGAAGATAAACCACGTAACTGAAACCTTTATAAAACATAACTTTTATTAAAAACATAACTTGTATAAAACAGATTTTGATAAGTCAAAACATACGTAAAATACATTTTGATGACTCAAAATATAATATAACTCACCTTAACTTTAATACCTTACTCTTTCTTTCTATTATCAAAGATTCTTCCAACTGCTATTATTTTTTTCCTTCATTTCCTCTCTTTCTTTTCCTTCTTTCCTTCTTTCTTTTGCTTTCTTCTTTTCTTTCCTTCAGCCGAATCACCTCCTATTTATAAGGAGGTGAGACCATTGCTTGGCCAACACGTGGCCGGGCCGTCCCTCTTGCTCAGATTCGTTCATTAATTAATTGATTTGTTGTTATCTTATATAAATATTTAAGATAATTATTTTTTGATATAATATTTTAATATAATTATATAAATTAATTAATTACTAATTAAATTACACTTTATCATATACCAGCAAAAAATAAATTATTTATTTTAATACCACATCCATTATTGTTATTATTTATATTATCTATCTTATTATTATTTATATTTTGACCCCTAAACTTTTAAATAATTCTATTATTTTACAAAATTACGCATAATAATATATAATAAATTATATATTTTCTGAACTGAGATTAAATAATATTAGTATAACTTCAGTAGCATAATTAAAAATTTGGATTGTTACACCAATCTTTGAACCCGTGACCTTTAATCCATGCACACCAACCACTATACCACAATCACTCTATATGAAATATATTCCCTAAATAAATATTTAAACATTACTTTTGCTTTATTGTAAATGGTCATATTCAACCTCTGGCCGCGCGTGGTCACCACACGCCGGAGTTCCGCCGGCAAAGACCGCCGTCATTAACGGCGGTAATGAAAGGGCTTTAGTGGCGGTTTTGTTACCGCCGTTAAAAGAGGGCTTTAGTGGTAGTTTTTTTAACGACGGTTTCATTACTGCCGTTAAAAATACTTTAGCGGCGGTTTTTTAAACGGCGGTGATGAAACCGCCGTTAAAGATACATTAATGGCGGTATTAACGGCTGTTTTGCTACTGCCGTTAATACTATCTTTAACGGCAGTAACGAAAACCTCCGTTAAAAAAATCGTCGTTAATGCCCTGTTTTGGCGTAATGTAATCTAAATGAAATGATTCTTTTATTTAATTTATAATTATTATCAATAAAATGTGCAGTGATACATTGATATTCTAAACTATTATTTGACCATAGATCAGATGTTAAACAAACTTTTTCATTTAGATTTTTGAAAATGTCAAATAATTTACTTTTAATATTCTCAAAATTTTTAAAATCCTGTTTCCAATAATATTTATTGAAAAATCTTGATAATATGGTGT